CACGTATGCAACCATTCAGAGTTCATTAGTGACCTGGGGGTGGGGAATGTCAGACAGAACACCACAGAGGGCACCCCTTCATTCTATTGCCCTGGGCAGTGACATCATTCTAGATCTAATCGCAAAATTCTGGACATCATTCTAGGAGCTCTGGGAGGTGTCCGAGGGGCTGGAGAACTTTGTGTCTGTCCAGAAGGTGGAGCTGTGGGACTGGGCCTGTGAGGACAGGCTTCTGGTCCAGACCAAGTAGGGAAATACTCTAAGAATTCTTGCACATAGACAGGAAACAACATGTGTTGGAGGGGATGTGGAGAAAGGGGAACCCTCTTATACTCTTGGTGGGAATGCAAGTTGGTGCAGCCACTTTGGAGAACAGTGCGGAGATTCCTCAAGAAATTAAAAATAGAGCTTCCCTAGGACCCTGCCATTGCACTACTGGGGATTTACCCCAAAGATATAGATGTAGTGAAGAGAAGGGCCATCTGTACCCCAATGTTTATAGCAGCAATGGCCACGGTCGGCAAACTGTGGAAAGAACCAAGATGCCCTTCAACGGACGAATGGATAAGGAAGATGTGGTCCATATACACTATGGAGTATTATGCCTCCATCAGAAAGGATGAATACCCAACTTTTATAGCAACATGGACAGGACTGGAAGAGATTATGCTGAGTGAAATAAGTCAAGCAGAGAGAGTCAATTATCATATGGTCTCAGTTATTTGTGGAGCATAACAAATAGCATGGAGGACAAGGGGAGTTGGAGAGGAGAAGGGAGTTGAGGGAAATTGGAAGAGGAGGTGAACCATGAGAGACTATGGACTCTGAAAAACAATCTGAGGGTTTTGAAGGGGCGGGGAGTAGGAGGTTGGGGGAACCAGGTGGTGGGTATTAGAGAGGGCACGGATTGCATGGAGCACTGGGTGTGGTACAAAAAACAATGAATACTGTTATGCTAAAAAGAAATTAAAAAATAAAAAAAAGAATTCTTGCATACTTGGCATGAAGTGTTTTCACTGATGTGTGACTGCAGCCCCTGTGTCCCCACAGCTGCATGGGGGCTCAGCTCTGATTCATTCCCTACTTCCTGGGTCATCCTCCACCCCATGGGGGACTTGCCCAGGCTGGTGATTCGACAGGGACAGATACACTCACACCTAGAAAGTTCACATCATGAAAAAATCTCAACTGCCATGCTACCTGGGTCTAGGGCAAGAGACCCCTGGGGAAGGGAAGGGGGGAATTCCAGCACTGTAGCCTCAGCCAGCAGAATTCTGGACTTCTCTGTCTTGCCTGATTCCTCTATCACCTCCCCCCTCATGGACAAAGAGTCCCCTTTAAGGCTGAAGAGAAAATATGCTGGGATGCAAGAGTCATTTGCCCTGTTTAGTTCCCAAATACAGCCCCATTTTTTCTGTCACCTTCGAACCTCCAGCTTTCCTTACAGGGTCCTGTCAGACTGTGCTATCCACAGCATCTGAGTCCTTGTTAGGGGGAAAAGGAAAAAATATATATATATGGTATTTATTATAAATTAAAAGCAAATATTGCACATTATAAAATTATATATACTATATAAGCATATAAACATATATTGAATGTGTGCAATATGTTATATTGAATTATTACACATATCATTTTATTATATGTAATCTAGTAAATATAGATATCAGGTATGATATAAAATACTATAGATTTTATATAAATATTTTATCATATGTATGACACATGTCACTTGTTGCATATATGTTTCATATATTCTAAATTATACACTTAAGTACTATAAGTTACATATAGAGGGAGGGAGAGGAATGCAAAGTTACTCTGTGTGGGAACAAATGTGAGTTTGCTCCATTCTGAGTTAAATTTAGAGACAGAGCCATGTGTGTAGTCCCACAAAGGAATCTATTTGCAGTGAATAAAGAGATCACAGGGAATAACTTGCAAAGCCTTGACTCTGGGAGTAGGAGAGAGTGGGTTCTTTTTATTTAGTATTTGGGATGAATATTCAGAAGGGGAGCTTTGTCATCCCATGTCAAGGTGGGCATAGGATGGGTCAGGAGGACTGAGAACACTGGCCTCTACAGGCATCCTCTGCTATGTTACTGCAGGCTGGGCTCCTCCTAGTGCAGAGACTCTCACATTACAAGGAAGGAGAGGCAGCTGTCCCCCAAGGGGAAGGGGCTAGGGTCCTGCCCCCAGAGCCAGGATGCACTGGGAGGGTCTGAGCTCCTTGTCTGGGGTAAGGATTGTGGGGCCTGGTTTTCCTTTGAAATAACATTGAGAATTTCACTGATTTGCTGTTTCTGATGTGGTTAGACTGTTTCCTGGCCTGATATAGGCTGTCAATTTTCATATTCCATTTGTTCCCTTAAAATCCTTAACTAGTGAGGTGTGGTTTTTTTTTCCCCTTCCATTTCTTCTTAATTCTTACAACTCTGAGGAAGATAGGATGTGTGCTGGGGAAGTAGAGCTGCTCTGACAGAGATCATAAGAGATAGCTAGGGTTGGGGGTTAATTGACTTCTCTTGTGTCAGGAAAGCTGTATCCCACATTTTTTGTTTGGTTGGTTGGTTGGTTTTGCTTCTCTCCTGGGGACCCGTAAGTTTTTATGCTCACACATGGACCCATTGATGGGACTCCTTGGTACAATAGCCCTTTGTGGACAGTGTCCAGCAGCATGGTCCTTCAGAGATGAAAAGCACAGCCCAAAGACAGCTCTCCCCTGGGGCAACCACCATCACCTTAGAGTCAGCAGGGGTTGGTGGGGGGAGACTGCCTGTTCTTTCTAACTTTGTGAGGGGCTCCTGGGCCCTGGGTTTTTCTCCAACACCCAGTTTTCCAACATCTGTGCTCACCACTCTCTCTAGAACTTCACAGTAATAAAGGATCTTCTGATCCATGATAGAATGCCTTGAGAATGTGTGTGACGGTTTCTCAGGGCTCCCTTCAAGGTCAGGGATCCTGGATGATTACTGTGACTCCCCAATTTATTCATGATTAAATATATTTCAGTAGTTCTCAAACTTATAGTTTCTGTTGTCATTTCTTAGAAATATGATATTGATCATTTATTTCTGTATTTTGTGTTGACTTACAGAAGCTGAGAATTTTTTTCAGATATATCTATTAGCCATTATAATTTTTTGTTTTTCTTTTAAGTTTGGGTCCTCTTTATCTTCAAATTTGTTGCCCATAAAACTGCATACTTTTCTCCAGTGTATCAAAGGAACTTTTGTTAAACAAACACAAAGTGATGGGGTAGGAACTTTTTTGTGATATAAGTTAGGCTCTAAAACACAGGCATTGAGGACAGCAAATAGCATCTAGGCATAATTGTATGAACCAGACAAAGTACTAGCAGTTCTGAAATGAATAAAAAAGCATATTTTATTGATATTGTAATGAACACTGTTTTGACACAGGTGGGCATTCCTTAAATGTGTATTTCAAGAATGTAGGGGAGGTAGACCTGGATGGGTCAGGTGGTGAAGCATCTACCTTAGGTTCCAGTCATGACCTCAGGGTCCTGGGATCAAGCCCTGTGTCTGGCTCACCAGGGAGGCTGCCTCTCCCTCTCCTTCTGTGCCTACACCCCAGCTAGTACATGCACTCTCTTTCTCTAATAAATAAATAAAATATTTTAAAAATAAATAATGTAGATGAGAATGAATGAATGAATGATGCACACTGAGCGCTCGCATTGGCTGTTACTGTATTAGTTTGTTTCCTTAAGAGGAAAGGAAGGTGTCTCCCAGTCCTGTTCATCTGTGTTTCCACACCTTTCCACAGGTCACACATGGTCGCCATGTGACAGAGGGACAACAGACTATCAGCAGACCCCAACCTGCTCTCCCACTTGACCTTTTGTGTGTCTTCTGGGCATCCCCATCATTGTGGGAATCACTCTCCATCCACCTGACACTTTCACCCATCCCTCCCACTCTCAGCCCAGGGTCCAGCTGGTGACCTTCCTTTGTCACACCAGGGGACACATGACATTTCTCCCTTCCCTGTTTCCTCTGCTCTCTGCTTCCTCCAGCTGCCCTCCTGGTGTCACCTTCCAAATCTCCCTGTCCCAAGTTCTGTCCTAGAGATAAATCCCTAATGAGCAATACTGACTAGAAGCACAGCTTCTGGTCTCTCAGCAAATGGAAGAGAGCTCACAGGATGGCCCATCTGTTGTTCCTGCTGGAAACCCAGACCCTGCAGTGTCCCCACAGTCCCTGTGTGTCCCATCATTCCTGCTCAGGAAGGGCCCAGCATTCTCATACCCAGTGTCCTCCTCTATGAAGGTGTGTGTCCCCTGCACAAGCTTCTTTTCACACACAACACCCAGAACCAGCTCATGTCCTCTGAGGTCCTCCTGTGGTAACAGATTCCTTCTTTTCTCTATTCACTGTGTCTTGTCCTCAGCTCCACAGAGGTTCACAGAATCTCCTGGGTCAGGTCTGCTCATGTATTTTCCTTTAGACACGAGTTCACAGAGGAAGACTGATCAGGGACAGCACACCAGGACCTCTGTCTTTCCTGGAGGGTCACTGTTGCATGGTGGGAACACAGGTTTCACAGAGGCAGGTGAAGCAGAGTCTTGCAATCTATGGGAATGAAGGAGAGATTCTCCCAGAGATCAACAGGGGGCGCTGTAAGATTGTGTCTGGGGTTTTCTGCAGGACAGGGTCTCCTAGCAGGGTATGCTGAGTCCCCAGCCTTCAGTGGGGACAGGGCAGCTGTAGCCTCTTTGAAGCTGGATAAGTCCCTGGACCAGGGCCTGTTAGGTTCCAGCAGCTGCTTCACCCAGGCCCACCAGAGGGAAACTAGTGTGACAGGAATTCTCCCTACGAAAGGGTTATAGACCTGGAAGTGCACAAGAAGGAGAAGCAGGGGTGGGTCATATTTGCATGAGGAGCCCCTCCTCTATGAGGACCTTGGACAGGGAATAAGACATGCTAGGGTCAGCCCAGCTTCAGCTCTGTGACCTAAGAAGAAGTTGTGTCAACATGGCCTGGGCCATGGTCCTCTTCATGCTCTTCTGTCACTGCACAGGTAGGGAAAGTCCCCATCGCAAGAGGGTGACCCCCCAGCCTGTTAGATCCCTCTGGCTCAGCTCCTCAACCACACAAACCCTATCCCTTTTCTTCATTCTGATGTGTTTGTGTTTGCAGGTTCCCTGTCCCAGCCTGTGCTGACCCAGCCTCCCTCCCTCTCTGCATCCCTGCGATCATCAGCCAGACTCACCTGCACCCTGAGCAGGGACATAAATGTTGGTAGTAAAAACATGTACTGGTACCAGCAGAAGCCCGGAAGCCATCCCCATTTTTTCCTGTACTACTACTCAGACTCAGATAAGCAGCTGGGACCTGGGGTCCCCAGTCGTGTCTCCGGATCCAAAGATACCTCCACCAATACGGCAATTATGCTCATCTCTGGGCTGCAGCCTGAGGACGAGGCTGACTATTACTGTGCTATAGCTCATGGCAGTGGGAGCAGTTTTCATTACCCACAGTGTCTCAGACAACAAGGAAATGAGACAAAAACCCCTGGACACACAGACCTTGTCTCTGAGCCTCTTTTATTGAGAAATTTCTTGGGGCTTCCTGTCAGGTGTACACCTGTGGCACTAAGCACAGTGACAGAGACAGATAAGGGGGTGACAGGTGTTTTGAAGTGGTTAATTACTTCACTGGTGATAGCAGTAGAACATGTTCCCCAGGGATTCAGTCACGAAATGAGGCCCTGCTGGAATGCTGTCCTTTCCTTACACACAGACCACATGGAGCCTCTTAAATGTTGAACAAAATGTATATTAATACTAATAAATATTAACAGCACTAATACCATTTCCCTTGTTAAATGTGTTGAAGAGAAGATGATAACCATCCAGAAGGCAGCACACATCATACTATATATCATTACACATATATGGATAATTTCTTTTTATTTCTTATTTATTTATTTGACAGAGAAAGACACAGCAAGAGATGGAGCACAAGTAGGGAGAGTGGGAGAGGAGAAGCAGGCGCCCCACAGAGCAGGAAGCCTGATGTGGGGCTGCATCCCAGGACCTCAAGATCATGACCTGAGCCAAAGGCAGACACTTAATGACTGAGCGACAGAGGTGTCCCTCTTTTTATTTCTTTTAAATTTAAAATAAATTTTAAATATTTTACATAATCTCTACACCAAGTGTGGAGCCCAAAATTACAATTCTGAGATCAAGACTCCCATGCCCCAGGGACTGAACCAGCCAGGACCCCTCTATATGCATATTATCAGGACAGAGTGTCACCTAGTCTTATCCCAAGCCCCAGCCTGTGCTGTTTGCCTCCAAATAAGAAAACTAATTAAATAGATGAACTTTCTGGAGAGCCTCCCTTCCCTAACAGAGATTTCACCCCAAAACAGTGTTTGTTTGCCCCTGGGAACTAACAGTGACCCTAGCGTTCAGAACCCTCATTGTCTGAATGCACTGCTTTTGACCTAAAATTCTGTCTCTGGGTCCATTATGTATGAAACCCGGGCAGCTCAGCTCAAGGATGCTCGCAATATGTGTGGTTGTTGTTGTTGTTTCTTTGTGTGTGTGTGTGTGTGTGTGTGTGTGTGCGCGCGCACACTCGTCTGTGTATTTCCATCTCACTTTAGAGTCAAACACACCATCCCAGAATTCCCAGGGTCTCTCTGATGGGCAGTAATGAATTTCCTGTAAAATAAAAGCTCAGTATATATATATAATGTTTGGCCTCATAGGAGGTCTTCTTAAAGCAGGCTCTTAATTTTAAATTGAAACAAAGCAGAGCCTTTACTGTGAGAAAGAGAAATGTTTCATTTTAATTTAGTGGCAAATTTACATATGCCTGAAAGATATGTCTTCCTTTGAAAGTTTCAAGTTTGGTAATGCTAAAAGCTGCCACCATGATAAAGTCAGGGGGATATGTATTCAGTAGTTCCCAAAATTCTCATTTAAATATTCATCCATCAATAACCCGTGGAGGGAAGTCAGGATGCGGGGATCAACAGCCCAGGTTTACGCCATTCTCCAAAGGACACTAGCTTTCTGTGTGTACCGAGTCAATCTTCATTATTTCAACATGCAGCTTGTATTTTGTTTAAAAACACTTTAATGAGGGGTGTTAAGAAGTGTACATATTGCAATGAACACTGGATGTTATACCCAAACAATGAGTCATGGAACACTACTTCAAAAACTAATGAAGAACTGTATGGTGATTAATATCACATAAATAAATAAATAAAATTTTAAAAATCATATCTTTATGTATTTCCAGTGGACAAATGGATTTCATGTTTATGTTCTATGTCTGTTCCATCATGGGAAATTTGCTGGCAGTCTTCATAATTTTTGTTAATTTTTGTTTCCATTTTAATACACACATAGGAATGTTTCATTCTCTACTTAACATCTTTCATACAACTATGTATAACCCATGCATCTTCTTTAGTGAATGTTGCTTGGATTGAAAAAGAGAAGTAGATTGTTTTTGTTCTGATTGTTAACATTTTAGAGTCCTTTATATATTCTGTGTGCAACTATTGAGATTAAATAAAAAAAAAGAGAATTAAAGTAATAGTCCTTCTATCTGCTACTCCAATTGTTCACAATCATATGATAGGAGAGAACCAATGTTGCCAAAATTCATGTTGGTGCAAAGACACCCTTGTCCTCTTGATTTTTAATTAAAGGGAAATTAAAGCTTGGACTTAAGGCAAGAAAGAATCACTGGGAAATTACCATGCCTTAGGACTCAGATATCAATCCATGAAACTGGAGAATGAAATTCTCACTAAGAATAAGGAAATATGTTTATTCTTCCAATCCAAGAGCATGGAATGGTCTTCCATCTTTTTGTGTCTTCTTCTATTTCTTTCATGAGTGTTCTGTAGTTCCTCGAGTACAGATCCTTTACCTCTTTGGTTAGGTTTATTCCGAGGTATCTTATGGTTCTTGGTGCTATAGTAAATGGAATTGATTCTCTAATTTCCCTTTCTATATTTTCAAGAGTAGTGTATAAGAAAGCCACTGATTTCTGGACATTGACTTTGTATCCTGCCATGTGGCTGAATTGTTGTATGAGTTCTAGTAGTTTGGGGGTGGAGTCTTTTGGGTTTTCCAGATAAAGAATCATGTCATCTGTGAAGAGAAAGAGTTTGACTTCTTCATTGCCAATTTGGATACCTTTTATTTCCCTTTGTTGTCTGATTGTTGTTGCTAGGACTTCTAATACTAGGTTGAACAAGAGTGGTGAGAGTGGGCATCCTTGTCGTGTTCCTGATCTCAATGGGAAGGCTGCAACCTTTTTCCCATTGAGGATGATATTTGCTGTGGGTCTTTCATAGATAGATTTTATGAAGTTCAGGAATGTTCTCTCTATCCCTATACTTTGAAAGATTTTAATCAGGAATGGATGCTGGATTTTGTCCAATGCTTATTCTGCCTCAATTGAGAGGACCATGTGGTTCTTCTCTCTTCTCTTATTAATTTGTTCTATCACATTGATTGATTTGCGAATGTTGAACCACCCTTGTAGCCCAGGGATGAGTCCCACCTGGTCATGGTGGATAATATTTTTAATGTGCTGCTGGATCCTGTTTGCTAGGATCTTGTTGAGAATCTTAGCATCCATATTGGTGCAGCCACTTTGGAGAACAGTGTGGAGATTCCTCAAGAAATTAAAAATAGAGCTTCCCTATGACCCTGCAATTGCACTACTGGATATTTATCCCAAAGATGCAGATGTAGTGAAAAGAAGGGCCATCTGTACCCCAATGTTTATAGCAGCAATGGCCACGGTCGGCAAACTGTGGAAAGAACCAAGATACCCTTCAATGGACGAATGGATAAGGAAGATGTGGTCCATATACACTATGGAGTATTATGCCTCCTTCAGAAAGGATGAATACCCAACTTTTGTGGCAACATGGACGGGAATGGAAGAGATTATGCTGAGTGAAATAAGTCAAGCAGAGAGAGTCAATTATCATATGGTTTCTCTTGTTTGTGGAGCATAACAAATAGCATGGAGGACAAGGGGAGTTGGAGAGGAGAAGGGAGTTGGGGAAAATTGGAAGGGGGGGTGAACCATGAGAGACTATGGACTCTGAAAAACAATCTGAGGGTTTTGAAGGGGCAGGGAGTAGGAGGTTGGGGGAACCAGGTGGTGGGTATTGGAGAGGTCACGGATTGCATGGAGCACTGGGTGTGGTGCAAAAAACAATGAATACTGTTATGCTGAAAATAAAAAGAAATTAAAAAAATAAAAAAAAGAAGAAGAAGAAAAATAAGGAAATATGTAAGGGGTCATGCATTGCTCAGTTCTTGCAGGAAACAGAAGGAAACAGGAGGGAAGGAAGGAAGGAAGGAGCAAAAGGTGGAAGGGAGAGAGGGAGGAAGGGAGGTAGGGAGGAAAGAAAGAAAGAGGTTTCCCTAATCAATGACTAACACAATATCATCTGTCTTTCCAGATTCTGTTCATTGAAGTCACATTCCTGACCTGGAGATACCTCTCCAGGGGCCCCATGCCATTCTTTCCCAAGACCACCATGAAGTCCTGCTTCTGTGCCCCAGGACCCCTTGGTTGACCTTGTCTGTCACTATCAGGTCTCCATGCCTGGAGGAAAGAAGGAGAGGGAAGGAGCTGTCAGGTGGGGGCTTTGGGTCAGAACTCCTGGATCCACAGACCTGGCGAGAATAAATGCTAAAACAGTTCATCTCTGTGTGGGTCCCAGAGTGCCCTGTGGGACCTCTCCTTGCCATTTTCCCTCTCTGTAGAGGATGTAGCCACAGAGATCTCATGCACATATCAGGTCCTCCTGGGATTTTTCTGGGTACAAGGAAATCTATTCTAAGGGCCCTGCAGAGGATGAGCATTTATGGCAGCCTTACTTCCTGGGAGGAGCTGGATCCTCAGCTGTGACCACAGGGATTCCCTGGCATGATGGCACTGCCCAATGTCCTCCACACACATTTCACTGATTATCACTTCTACCTGCTGTTTCTGTTGTCCCATCCTCATACAGGGGTGCCCCCTTCTACTTCACAGTCTCTAAACCTTACAGTTAAGACTCATTTTAGTTCTTCTTTCCTTCTACTAAAAGATACAGGAGAACATGGGTCCTATGGGACCGCCTCCTAAGCATGCCTGATATGTTATTTCTTTATTTTCCCATTTATTGTCCTGCCATGGATTTCTCATGCCCACCCACTCTCCTCTTGTCTGATGTGCTTCTTTGTATTCATAAGATGTCTGGTCATACACACAGTATAATGCTTCTCATCTCCCTTATCATATATCCACTGTCCCATGTTAATGATTTGCTAAGGGGTCTTCCCCACAGTCCTCTGCACCCCATATACCCCTGGGGCCACTCTCACATGGTACTCTTTTCATGTGAAGAACTGTGTCTGCTGTCCCGCTGGCCTGTTCCATTTAAAGGAGGAAGAGGATTAAAAATGATATTTCAAGCCTCCTCCATAGCAGCTGAATTTTAGAGTAAAGCCAAGATATAGATAGACAATGATCTGTGAGAATGTAGGTATGTTTTATTTTTATATTTGGTGGTGGTGGTGGTGCTCACAAGGGA